GTTAACAGAGATAACAATGAATGTATTTTAATCTTGATCAAATAAACCAATCTTATATTTTTTCCATTTATTTTTAACAACCTTAATCTATAATTCCTTCAAATAATGTCCTAGAACTTTATTTCTTTTCATTTTCTCCTATCACAAAATTCTCCAAATTTAGTGTTTCTTTTTAAAATTTAATATAGAAAAGTTATCCATCTTTTGTTATATCTCTTTTAAGCAAGTATCTTTCAGTTCTATGAGATTTATATTTGAACAAATATACATAAACTTGCAGTTATTCTCTTCGGTGGGAAAAATGCTTTTAAAAGTAAAAAAAAAAGCCTCTGATGATTGTGCTGGGCATTGGGGGGGGGCAGGGATTTTTGCTACTGGTTCTCCGAACCACCTGCCTCCATCGTTACCGGATAGGGTGATCTGTTCCGAACTGGAAGCGTTTCACCCCTGGGAGAAAGAGAAAACACAAAACACCAGTGCAAACTGGCTGCAGGACCTGACAGCAGACAACAGTAATCTGCCAGAGCAGGAACCAATTACCATCACAGTAATAGAAATCTGCAGCAGGTCAAGAACACGAAGAGCTGATTTTTTAAAGGATACATTCATATGACTCATGAGGTATCTTGAATTTTTAAATAGATGGGATATAAGTTACAATTAATTAAACATTCCTATTGAAGCAACAAAAAATTAAATTGGGCTAAAAATCAAATAACTGCAAGTTTATGTATGTTTGTTCAAAAATAAATCTCATAGAACTGAAAGATACTTCCTTCTAACAAAGTTTGTATAGGCTTGAAGCCCATGCTTAAATTCAATCCAAGTTTACTAAAAAACTATTAAAATATTAGTTTAAATTTTAATCATCCATATATACATATCATTAATAACATCAGTAAAATGTAATCATGAAGTAATAGAAATTTAGAAAATGTAGATTAATATAAACTCAGTTTTTTAAAAACATATATAACATTCTTATGATGCTACTGGTAGTTGTATTTCAGAACCCTTGCAGCATTTTAAAATCATTTTCACAAATATAGAAGTGACTAATAATCTCCAAATACATTTGGATGTTACATGGATATTTATAATAATTTTCATTCAATTTTTTTGAGTGACTAGCAGAGTAGATATTAAGTAATTGATATTGATGAAGATGTGGATCACATATATTTATAGAATTGACCTGAATAGTGAATAATCCATTGTAGTGATGCATCTTCAATATAAATTCAAAATAGCACCAAGAAAAATACCTAAGTAAATAGCCAAGAAATTATGCAAAATGCAGTAGAAGGTAATTCATGTTTAATTTAACTGAAATTTAAGAGATATTTATGGAAGGTGCCATTTTATAGTAAGTGAAAATTTTGATGGAACAAAATGTTTTTCAGCAGCTCTATATCTCCACTCTTAGTCTATTTTAACTGAACAACTTATATTTTATTCTGTTCTAGTCATATTATTTTAGAATAACAAAAAGGAATCCATAGTGGTTGTTTTCTTGCAGATGTTTTATTAGCCAAACTAGTGTAACATCATCAGAATAATAGTGTTCCACCACAAGGTGGCACACATTGATTAATAAATTGAATTTCTGTTACCTATGTTCCATATTTTTTCTCACTTTATTAGAAACTTATTATATGCTAGTATTATATTGAAAATGATTTAATCTCTGCAAAGATATAACGTTGTATCATAATTAAAATATGCATCATTTACAGAGTTATTGTGAAGTCGTTCAAGCAATATTGTCTCCTCACAGGCTCCATTTACATCTCATAGAAAATTGTAAGAACTTTGAAGAAAGCAAAGTGGAAATGAAATGTTCACTAGAGCTTTCTTTCCAAAGCAAGTTCCCACCACCAGATCAAGATACTCAAGCCAGCTGCTATTTAGCATAGTTCATTCCTTTCATCTATGACAAAAATCAATATGAACATATTTTTACAAAATCACTAGATTTTGTCATCTGTTTTTATTTTGGCCAGCACATCTTCCCATTGATTGAAACTGGCAGTTCGCCTCCCTTCTCTTGTTAGCATAGCACTAACCAAAACTGATACATTTTAAGTGAATTATTATTTATTCATTACTTAATAATTGAGATAATATAAATTACATTTCCCCTGATAATTAGGTATTATTTGCCTGAAAAAACTGTATTAAAGCATTTATTTCATAGGAAACCTAGCCTATCATTTTTTAAAATATCAGCAACATATGAAATGCTGATACTTGAGAAGTCTGAAAAATATTGATCTGTGCTTTTATTACTTAACAGTAGATAACATACTACAAAAGCTATAATGATAAAAGAAGCAGGCATTATATAAAGTCATGCACCTTGGAATTTCTGTGCAAGACTTTTTAAAAAGTTATTCACAGAAGCGATGCTGCAGCACACACTGATAAGGATAAAATCTGACAACACATCCTAATTATCAAAACTATTTGTATAGCACATCTGGATGAATCATAGTCTATTGTATTAACCCAATCTTTTTCATTTGTGTGACACAGTGAATCATATATTATCAGATGAATGCATATAACACACAGGTTTATACTTCAATATATTATTTCCCTAAAGCAGTTGATCGAGGAAAATGATGCCAACTTAAAAGAGATTTAAGGTTAAACGTTATTTTAAGAAAATAAGCTGGGGAGTATGTCAGGTACCAGAATAGTGAGGCAGATATTGCTGTAATAAGGAGAAAATTATACAGTATAACTCCTACAAAATAAAGATATTTAAATATATGTATCTTTTTATAATCTTAACTTGCTTTATTAGATAACTTTAATGTAACAAAATCTGAAAGATTTCTAAGTCTCTTCAATGAGCAAGGTGTTACAATGTCAGATATTGTTGAAGAACAAAGAAAGTTTGCTAATATAATACTTCATTTGCAAGGATTCAAAGGGTAAATATATTTTTACTGGTCATATTTATTTTAAAAATCAAAGGAATTAAAGTTAATATATTTGTTTTCAAATTATTCAGACAACAAGGCAAAATTATGTAAATAGAACCAAGTGCAGAAATCTAACAAAACATTCCAATTTATTATAATTTCACTTGATTTTTTTTTTGTTAAAAGATTACAGACATGATTTTCCTTCTGTTCTTGTTGCTTTACATTTAGTTTGATTTATTACATAGCAAATATACCAGCTAGTTTCCCCTATTTAAAAAAAATACCTATTTGGAATATTTAGGAGTTGATGAATTAAAGGAATGCTAATATTTAATTTTGCTGAAGATTTCACTGAGAGGAATAAATATGAGACAAAACAACAGCATTCATCTGGCTATGGCTTGAATGTCAGAAAAATAAAATAAATTGTATTAGAAATATTTGATAACACAATGTAAGTATTGAACTTGCTTAAATCATATGTACTTTTGGCTCAGATAACCAATAACTGTGTCAGTAGTAATTAAAGAATGTGAGTATATAATTAGTTCAAAACTGGAACAATTGTCAAAACATATACAAAAGCTAAACTGACCTGTTTTCTGTGTTTCCCAGAATAAATATTTAAAACTGTGGATTCTGTTTTTTCCCCATACAGACTGATATACCTCATATCTTTCCACAGGGAAAATATCTAACTGAAACTCCTATACTTTAGTCCAGAGTTGTTGATAACAGGATGGTAAAAATAGAAAGTATCAATAACTTCTAACCCATTATCTTTATTATTAAAGGAGTTATAATTTTTGGTTTCTGCATAAGTAGTGGCTCAGTACTGAATTCAGCTGTTAATGCCTAGCAACAAGCTAAAGACATTTCTGTTAGATTTATTTAATACCAAAACATAAAGGTAATGCTCTGAGCTTAAATTGCTTTGTTGTCTAGGTTATGAACCTGAATACTTATAAACAGTAAATATTTATTTCAGATATACTACATGTTGCAGTACATCTTTTGATGTGCAAATATTGCACTGCATTGTATAATATTTTATTCCCCCCCCCCCAAGATTTCAGTAAGACAATTCTCTGCAGTGAAAATGTAAGAAAGGTCGAATAGTAACTAAAACAAATAGCAGAAGCAGCTCTAAGTACAAAATCATATTGTTTCCATAGTCCTGCTTCAAGAGATTTAGTCAATTATATTAAAATCATATTTACTTATTAACATATTGTAAGATGTTGTTTTTAACATTAGATTCTTGAATAAACTATACTGAGTTCACACAAGCCTTGACCATACAAGCCATATTATGATATAGTACACTGTACGGAGACTCTATTTCCTTATGTTGAATTTCTCATTATTTCCCATGTCAGTAGAGAAGCTGAATGCTTTCTCATTAGGCATTCTTTTTTTCACAGTTTTCACTTCAGAAAATATATTTCTAACTCATTCAAAACAAATCAACGTTTATCAAGCTAACCAGAGATAATACAAAATTAAGAATAGACATGTTAGTTGGTTACTTCCTATATCCATGTTTAAACTTTATTGCTATAAATTTCTGTAGAGATATTTTATAATGAGTTGTTTGTAGCTGACCTAAGAATCTACAGTGTAAACATGTTAACCTTATTAACCATAAGATCCAGTTGTAAAGAGACTTACTGTCCTACAAGAAATGCTGTAAGTTTTATGTTTGAACCAAAAAAAGCAAATGTCCTTTCTTTTGTTTTAAAAAGGGAAAAAGGGTTTTTCTTTAATAGCACCTCAAATTTGCTACACAAGTTCTTTTTCTCGGTCTCTGTCGCTTTCTCTACTCCCCCCCTCCACAGTTTCCCAAATTAAAATAATGCCTTTTTATAAAATTAAAATAATTTCAAGTTTGATTTAAATTGCATGTTCATTGTTTCTGCAGCTGTTTATATAATACATATAACTAACCACATGTATTGTAAAAAAATAATTTTTAGCATTTTATACTGAGAAGTTTAGAAAAATAATGATGTATTTAATATAAATTACTAATATAGCTGGATATATATTTATATGTATATTCCTTAGGCAGATGTGTGTAGGAAGAAAAAAGCCTGGTATGAAAGTGCATTGGAAGAGGCAAACAAATTATTTGCATGTTCTACTCAGCAAAGGCTCGACATATGCTATCTATCAAAAAAAGGTACAATTATCTGAACTTTTATTTGTTATTATACACAAACATTTGAATTTCTATTTGTGAAAATATTTTCCTAGTAATTGTGGCATAAATTGGTTCACAATGAATAAAGGCTTGTGACAAAAGTAAAAAATAACAAAAAAAAGCTTCTTCCAACATGTTAAAAACAAGAAAAAAGTCAAGGAAACAATTGATCCATTGCTGGGAGAAAGTGGCAAAAAGGTGACAAGCAACAGAGAGAAAGCAGAACTACTTAACTCATTTTTTGCATTTATCTTTACACAAAGAGGAAAAAACAGTCCAACCTATCAAAAACAGCACCATAAAAAGTAGATTAGGAACACAAGTTAAAATGGGAAAGAAAATGGTAAGTGAACACATGTCTATCTTAGACAAGTTCAAATCACCAGGACCGGATGGATTACACCCCAAGGTTCTGAAGGAACTGGCAGACATGATCTCAGAACCACTGAACTAACTTTCAAAGATCCTAGAGCACCAGGGAACTGCCAGAGGACTGGAAAAGAGCTGATGTAGTTCCCATCTTCAAAAAAGGAAAAAAACATAGATCCAGGAAACTACAGACCTATCAGCCTGATCTCAATACCAGGGAAGATTCTGGAAAAGATAATCAAGCAACAGATCAGCGAACACCTAGAAGCAAACAAAGTAATAACCAAAAGCCAACATGGGTTTGTCAAAAATAGATCATGCCAGACTAATCTTATTGCATTCTTTGACAAGGTGACAAAATTAGTGTACCCGAGGAATACTGTCAATATAATTTACTTGGACTTCAGTAAGGCATTTGATAAAGTAGACCATAACCTACTACTAGATAAAGTAGAAAAATGTGGGTTAGACAGCATCACCACCAGATGGATTCGTAACTGGCTGACCAACCGCAATGTGTAGTCCTCAATGGAACTGCATCTACATGGAGGGAAGTATGCAGTAGAGACCCCAAGGCTCTGTTTTAGGCCCAATACTCTTCAACAACTTCATCAATGACTTGGACGAAGGGAGAGATAGGAACTCATCAAATTTGCAAATGACACCAAGCTGGCAGTAATAGCCAACATTCCAGAACAGGGGTCTGCAACCTTAAACATTCAAAGAGCCACTTGGGCCAGTTTCCCACAAAAAAACAAAATACCGGGAGCCACAAAATCTGGGTGGGTGTGGCCAACTCAACATCACTCGCTCCCACCCAGTCGCATGACACCCCCTAGCCACACCTACCCAGGTTCTGTGGTTCCAGGTATTTTCATTTTAAATGCTCTTTCCCCCCTCTCTTTCTCCCTCTCCCTCTCTCATCTCTTTCTCTCTCCCTCTCTCTCTCTCCCTCTCATCTTTCTCCCTGTTTCTTTCTACCTTCCTCTTTCTTTTTCTCTCATCTTTCTCCTTCTCTCTTTTTTCTCTCTCATCTTTCTCCTTTTTCTCCCTCCCTCTCTCTTTCTTCCTCTTTCCCTCTCTCTTTCATCTTTATCCCTCCCTCCCTTTCCCTCTTTCTCATCTTTCTCCCCCATCTCTCTCTTTATTTCCCAGATAAATGAAGCTCTTTCGTCCCCCTGGTGTGGCTCCCTGTCAACTGGCTGGCCCTCCGCCCCTCGCCCTCCCCTCCTCCTCACTCCTCACCTGACCTGAGAAGAGAAGGACGGTGGAGGTGGATGGAGACTCTCTCTGTGTTTCAGAGTGGAAGCGAAGTGCCCCTCTGTTTGCCTCTTTTTCCGTCCCTTATCGGGAGACGGATGACTTTCTCCACTCCGAGACACCAACTGGGCCACCCCAGCTGATGCTCTGCATCGTAATGGTCTCCATGAGGAGAAGGAGGGGACGCAGTCTCCCCCATTGTGCAGCATGCTAAGGAATAAGAATATGGGGAGACACACGACTTTCTCCATCCCGAGACACTGGCTGGGACACATCTCCCCATATTCCTCTCTCCGCCTCTGTGGCTGCTTGCTGCTCTTGCACTTAAACTTAGCGCTCTGCACAATGGGGGAGATGGCGTCTCCTCTTCCTCCTGGAACCCATTACAACACACAGCATCGACTGCAGCCAGGTGGCCCAGCCAGTGTCTTGGCACAGAGCAAAGTCACATGTCTCCACCAGCAGCTGAAGTGTGCACAGGACCAACAAGGGCTGGAAAAAGAGGCAAGTAGAGGGGCGCTTCGCTCCCGCTCTGGAATATGGAGGAAGTCTCCATCCGCCGCAGTCACTCTTCTCAGGGCAGGCGAGGAGTGAGGGGAGGGGAGGGGCCACCCAGTGGTGGGTGACCCCTCTAGAGCCGCAGGTTGCTCACCCCCGCTCCAGAAGATAGGCTTAAGATACAGAAGGATCTTGACAGACTTGAACATTGGACTCTAACAAAATGAAATTCAATGGTGAAAAAAGTAAGGTTCTACATTTAGGCAAGAAAAACAAAATGCACAATAACAACTCTGTTATTCTATTCTAAAATAATCATAGCATCTTTACTAAATACTAATACTGCTAGATATTAATGATTCCTACATCAAATCAACATAAATAAAATAAAATAAAAGAATAAATAAATACCTAGCTCAGAATAATTTGTGTTAATCACTTAAGGAACCTGTACATTTTACATGATTGATGTAACCTTTATGAAATACGAGTTCCTACAACTATATCTCTGTAATGATCAATATACTCCATAAAATATCTTTGGGTACTTACTATAGACATCAGGATCTATTTATCATATAAGATTAACCAAGTTCTGAATTGGACTGTGTTCCTCCAGCAAACATGGTATCACAGCCCACTATGTGATAGTTGAATAGTTTTATTGTAGATTCCTATTTCCATAATATCATTGCATTTATAACATAAGAATTGAGCACAGATCAAAAACAATCATATAAAATCTTTTGTAAGTCATTATGATTCAATTGTTCCTTAATTATCCTTATAATGGTTTTTAGATACAGTAAATGACAAAGACGCCAAAAGAAAAACTGATAAAATAGAATGTAGAAAAATGGTAAGATTTAAATATAAATTCTTACACTTTTAACTGATTATTGGACAACTTGCTTTGCAATATTTTTTAGCTGTTCTTTCTAAATAGTAATATTATATCAATTTTTATTGATATGAAATGTGTTAGACAACTTGATGAATTTAGTAACTTACTAATTTTATAAGCATTTTATATTAGAATGAAAATGGATATAATTAATTCGTTTTATTATTCTATGCTTCATAATAATTTAAAGAAAACTTATTTGATTTTGGGTGAGGAAAGTGAAAGGGAATAAATACCTGAAGAAAAATACTATAGTTAGTATAGTAACTATTCTGGTATGGCATAGCCTTTGAACACCATTTCTGATATTTTTTGTGTGATATGGATTAGATGCCAGAAGCTTCAGGCTTATTTAATCTCCTATATAAATAGCCAAGAGAATTTCAGAAACTTTTATTGAATAGTTTATTATTTGATAATTCTTGTGGAGTGACAAACTATCATTAATTTTTAATTAATTTAGCATAAACCAATTCAGTTATGACTTAATCATATGTTAACTATAATTAACCAACGTTGTGGTTTGGATATACAAGAAATTGTGATTATCTAACTATGAGAAAACAAAAAACCTCTTCCAACACCCTATTCGATAATACATATAAAGGAAAAATACAAGGCTGAAATATATAATTTAATAAAATGAGTGAATTTACCCATTAAATCTGATTTACAAATGATCAAAAATAACATCTATGAGGGAACAGCTGTTGAAATTAAAAAGGTAAACTATATACTTCTGAAACAGCTGTTAACTGCCATTAAATATACTGTGTATTCAAAAATTACCTATTTTTCAGATTAAAAATTATACAAAAAAATATGGGAAGAAAACTAGATGCAGAAATGGAAAAAAGTAAGTTTCTTTGGTTATTCTCTGATGGTCTTAAAATATTGTGATTTTGACTAGACATGGAAAGATACAAAAATATGGATAGTGAATTCATTTATCTTGATTTTCCAGGGTATAAGAACTATATGTCTTTTATTTATTTAAATATACTTAGCCTGCCCTATGATTTAAAAACATGAGAGTGATATACAGCATACTTAAAAAGTTATAATGAAGTGATTATATAAATAAATCAGCACTATATTTCAGTATCAGCAAATCATATCAGCCATCAAAAACTGTTACAACCCATAGGCACCCACTATTTTAGTATGGCATCTAATATACATTAAATTCATAGCCAATATCTGAAAATCCCTATCTCTAGGTTCACCCACTTTATTTCAAAAACACACTAAACATGATAGAATGTTTACATCCAGCATATATCATGCTGTTCCATCCTATATCATATTCCATTCTTCAAAAGGATTTTGCAGGATGCCAGGAATCTATCTTCAAATCTTAGTTCTATAACTTCCAAACTTTTCTATGGCTTACTATATTGCTGGGCAATGAATGTGCCTGCTATTCATGCCATGTGAATGTATTAATGAACCATCTTCTGGTTGCCCAGACTGAAAGCAAACATTCAGCTAAGAATTGCTATACAGAAGAAAATAATACAGTTAAGGATGTTAGCATAATTGACACTACAGTCTGGTCCTTGCAGCTGAACAACCAACTACCATATTTACCATGTCTTATATTTTTTTGAACCCTGAAATAAACGCTTGGCCTTATTGCCATGTGGTCACAAGCCCTATTGGGCTTCTCAGGGGTTGTCTTATTTGGGGGGAAGCAGGGTAGTTTTAATGGAAAGGTACACTGTTATTAACACTTAATAAGATTAGTGCAGCAATCTCCAACTTTTGCAGCTTGGCAGCCCAGCTGGGTGGGAGAGGGAAACTGGGCCACGCAAGCAGCGGGCTAGCATATGCATACAATTTGATTTGCAGGAACGGCAGGCCGGTGGGCTGGCATGCATGTGCATGCAGCTTGGCTTATGCAAGTTGAGCTGCATGTATATGTGTGTGTATGTGTGTGCACCCTGGGCTGTTGCTTGCGCAGGTCGAGCTGCACACTTGCATAGCCCAGTTCTGAATAGGCCATGGCCTATAGCAGTCTGCGACCCTGGGGTTGGGAACCCCTGAACTAATGCATTCTTGCTTGGAAAAAGACAGCTGAAGCTTGGGAAGGCTCTGTGCCAGGCCTGCATTGGAAAAAGTAACGCCACTGAAAATTCTTAGCAGAATAATCTTGCTTGGTAAAGCTTAAAGCCCAATTGCTGACAGGAAGGAAGTGAGGGATGAAGTGAATTTCTTCCTCATTTCTTCCCTTTTCTGAGTTCTCTCTTAGAATTCAATAAAATTCCTAATTGTGATAAAGCTTATTTTGGGGATGTCTTAGCTGGAAAGGCTTTTAATGTAGCAGTCTCTTCTCTAGTGCCCTTCTCCCATTTTATTCTTGGCATGATTTCACATATTAGGAAATACTAATTTTCAAGCCTTCTTGGGAAGAAAAAAATAATTTTTGAGTTTGATTCCTACTCCATAGTTACCACTCTTGTATACTGTAGGATTGTGCTCTAAATTAGTAATATGTTTCTGTGTATCTATTATGTATGCTACTAAATCTCAATTCATCAGATTATGCTAATCAATTTAAAAGTTTTATTTGCAATCTCAGAATGTTTGAGTGCAAGGCAGAACAGAAATATTCTAATAAATAAATATTGTACATTCCAATGCAATCTGTATTTTTTTCCCCAAAATGATAACTATGTTTTAAGCAGTGGTGGGATTCTGGGGGTTCTAGGGGGTTCGGCCGAACCCTTTGTTAAATTGCTGGCTCACCCCGCCCCTTGCCCCGCCCTTCCGCACTACTATTTATTGCCAATAAATGGGGCGAGCGAGCCAGCAATTTAACAAACGGTTCGGTGTTTTTCTGTAATTTATTGGCCGCACAGCACACCGAACCTTTTGTTAAATTGCTGGCTCGCCCGCCCCTCACCGCCTCCCACCCTTGCGGCGCCAGCCTACCGTAGCCAGGGGTAGGCAATTGTGGCTCTTTTACAACATGTGGACTTCAACTTCCAGAATTCCTGAGACAGCTTGGCTGTCTCAGGAATTCTGGGAGTTGAAGGCCACAGGTTGTAAAAAAGCCACAATTGCCCACCCCTTCCCTAGCCTGAGTTCCTCTGCCTGGGATCCACGTGGGCTGCCACGTGGTTCCCCACTGGCTCCGGATGCAAGAGAGCAGGATAGAGAAAGCAGTTTCCACGCCCTCACTCTCTGCTCTGTTGGATCGCCGGCCGTTCGCTTACCCCACCCACTCCCAATCTATTGCTGCCTCCGGAGTCCCAGCTGATGGCTAGAGGAAAAAAAACTGTTCAAATTGTTGCCGCGGGGCTTCAAAGGGCCGCCCTAGAGCCAGCGGTGGGATTCTGCCGGTTCTAGGAGCCAAACCGTTTGTTAAATTGCTGGCTTGCCCTGCCCCTCCGCACCACTATTTATTGCCAATAAATAGTGGTGGGCGAGGAGCGGGCGAGCCAGCAATTTAACAAACGGCTCGGTGTTTTTTTGTAATTTTATTGGCCCATGGAGCTTCAGCATAGGCTAATTAGCCCCTTGATTCTATCAGCCTCCCGGCTCTCAGCTGATTTGTCTCAGCTGTTTTGCTCAGGGCTCTGCTGCTTCCTTGCAAAAAGTCCTGGAGCAGATTTTTTTTCCCCTTAGCTCTGCTGAAACACGAAACTGAAACTGCTTTGCTGTTGCTGCAAGGTTGGATAATTAGGCAGACAGATTTCTTTTCTTTTTCCTCACCAAAAAAGGTAGGTGCAAACAATGGAAAATTTAGGGAAAAAGAGGAGAGTTCAAGATTTTAAAACACAAAAGAAAAAAAGCTCTATTTAACTAGGGAATTGTAATAATTAAGATACTATTAATTGTATATTTCTGAAAGCAGAAATGGTTAAGTTGTGGTTTGGAGGAATATATGGGGGAAATTATTTGATTTATTATTATTGGTAAATATAATTAATTGATTTGTAAGAAATTGGATTGCATGGAAATAATTGGAATATTCATGTTCATATTGATTAATATACAAAAAAGGTAGTTACATAACTAATTGATTTATATTAAAATGTTGAATTTATATTAAACAACTAATATTACATAATTAACCAATGTGAGGATGGATATAAAAATAGAAGACAATGGGAAGGGGTATAATATAGAATAGAAGGGAAAAATTGAATTTGATTAAGATTAGAGATGAGGATGAAGGGTAATATTGGTTTTTTACAAAAATAGATGAGGAATAAATATGGCAAAAAGGAAATATAGAAATTGTAAATTTAATTGAAATGACTAAACACTGTTTAAATTTGTGAACCGGCCAAATACTCTGTTCAAAGAAAATACATTGTATGTTTGTATGTGTGTTTCTAATTATTGTTATTTATTCATATTTGTTCTCTTTTATTCTTTAAAGTTTAACAATTCATTCTTTATCTTAATATCTTTATATTTGTTTGGGGTTGGCTTTCTTCCCTTTCATCTTTTTTATTGTACAGCAATCTTTCTCCTCAAACCTACCACCTCTCTCTTTTCTTTCCTTCTTATTTTCTCTTCCTCCCCCTCTTCTTCTTCTCCCTACTTCCTCTTCCTTTCTCCTTCTCCTCCTCTCTTCTTCCCTCTCTTACCCTCCCTCCTACTCTAATTTCCCTTCCCTTCCTTCATCCCTCTCTATTGCTGTATCCTTTTATGCATATGGACTACTCAGAGGGCTGAAAAAGTTATTTCTGACTGGTCCTCGCACTTTTGACCAGTCCTCGAACTTACGACTGTCCTCACATTTTACGTTTTTGCCCTATCTTGTCACCATGGTGAAGAGAAGCAGTTGTGAAAATGAGTGACATGGTTGTTAAGAATGCTACAATGGCATAAATGATGACCAGTCATAATGCGAAGACGGGTCAAAAGTGCGAGGACCTGTCAGAAATCACTTTTTTCAGCCCTCTGGGTAGTCCTTTTGTGCATATGGACTACTCAGAGGCTGAAAAAGTTATTTTTGACTGGTCCTCGCAGTTTTGACTAGTCCTCGAACTTACGACTGTCCTCACATTTTAGTTTTTGCCCTATCTTGTCACCATGGTGAAGAGAAGCAGTTGTGAAATGAGTGACATGGTTGTTAAGAAAGCTGCACAGGCATAAATGTGAGGATGGTCATAAATGTGAGGACCGGTCAAAAGTGCGAGGCCCAGTCAGAAATGACTTTTTTCAGCCCTCTGAGTAGTCCCTATGCACATAGCCACGCCCACCCGGTCACACGATGAGCTAGCCACGCCTACACAGTCACATGACCAGCTAGCCACGCCCACCCAGTCACATGATTGCCAAGCCACACCCCCAACTAAGCCACGCCCACAGAACCTGTTGTTAAAAAAATTGAATCCCACCACTGGTTTTAAGGCTTAAAAGGAAACACTTTATTTGAAAGAAATCTTTAACCTAAAGCTGAAGAAATCTATATCTAAAAATGCATAGTCTGAATTCAATTCATATATTCATAGTGTTTTACTTTTCAAAGTTATATAAAATACATAATTTTCAAGCTGACTTTCAAGAGTTCATTTTGCTACTTTAAGTTATTTTAAACATTTTATATACAATGTAGACTCTTCAGCTTGATTGGTAGGCTGGCAACTAAATTTCAGGATTTGTAGAAAATATCAGTGACAAAAATCTGTCATATTTTTCGGACTCTAAGATACACTTCCCCCCCCCCCCAAAGTGGGTGGAAATGTCTATGCGTCTTATAGAACAAATTTTGCCGGAGCCCCACGCACCCGCAGCCCCCACCCTTCAGCCTCTGCCTCCCAGCAATTTGCCTCCTTGCAGCAAAGAGCAAACAGCCTGTTCAGTTCAGCACAGCCTGATTTAGCATGAGCAGCTGATTGGCGGTTGGATCTGCCTCCTGGAATACCACTGTTCCTGATCAGTTGTTCCAGGCTGTGGAATGCCTGGAATGGGCCAAAAATGGGACGTGCAGAAGCCAAAAATGGGGCATGCAGAGGCCGAAAATAGGAAGCGAGAGGCCGAAAATGGGGCGCACGGAGACAGCAATAGGTGGTAGCAGCAATGGGCAGCGCTGGTGCCAATGGGCAGCAGCAATTCCCAACCACCAATCAGCTGCTCGTGCTAAATCAGGCTGTGCTGAAGCTGACCAGTTTTCTCTTTGCTGCAAGGAGGCAAATTGCTGGGAGGCAGAGGCGGATTTTTTTTCTTGTTTTCCTCCCCAAAAACAAGGTACAATTTATAATCCGGAGTGTTTTATAGTCCAAAAAAATGGTAATTCAATCTAAATAAGCAATATACCATATTTTTCAGAGTATAAGATGCTCCGGAGTATAAGACGCACATTAGTTTTTGGGGAGGAAAACAAGAAAAAAAATCCGCCTCTGCCTACCAGCATCCATTGGTATTCATCTGGCTAGCGTCCTTGCAGCAAACAGTAAACAGCCTGGTCAGCTTCAGCATGTTATCGCAGGCTGATTCAGCATGAGAAGCTGATTGGCGGTTGATTGGCCTCCCAGAACACCGCAAATCAGGTGTTCCAAGCTGCGGGGATCGCCACAGCCCATCACCACCTCTGCGTGTTGCATTTTTAGCCTCTATGTGTCTTGTTTTTAGCCTCCGTGCTTCACGTTTTTGGCCTCCACATGCTCCATTTTAGACCCATTCCAGGCTGTTGGGATCGCCGCAGCACATCGCTGCCATCGCTGCCTCCACGTGTCGCATTTTCAGTCTCAGTGTGTCACATTTTCGGTCTCTGTGCATTGCATTTTTGGCCTTTGTGCATTGCATTTCCATCCTCTGCACACTCTGTTTTTGGCCTCTGCGTGTCGCGTTTTTGGCCCGTTCCAGGTGGCAGTGATTGCCGCCACTGCTGATCCCCTCTGCTTGAAACGGCCGAAAATGCGATGCACAGAGGCCAAAAATGGGGTGTGCGGAGGCTGAAAATGTGACACACAGAGGCCGATAATGCGATGCATGGAGGCCAAAAACATGATGCAGAGAGGCAATGATTGGTGGTGTTCTGCTGTGGTGATCGCCGTAGCCTGGAACGGGTCTAAAACGGAGCGTGCAGAGCCCAAAAACATGATGCAGGGAGGCTGAAAACGTGATGCACGGAGGCCAAAAATGGTTGAAGGGTGGGAGCTGTTGGATGGGTGGGGCTTTGGCAACATTCGCTGTTTAAGACGCACAGGCATTTCCACCCATTTTGGGGGGGAGAAGTGCATCTTATACTCCAAAAAATACGGTAATTTATAATATGTCTCATAATGCAGATACCATTGTAAGGTGTGCTTAAAAGAACTAATGTGAGTTTTAATAAAATTGTATTGTTCATAAATAGTTATCAATACTTTTATTAGATGAAACAAACATAGTTAGAAATAGGTTAAAATTCATTTTTAGCTTATAACTTACTGTTCTCATTGGGTCTACTCCTAATTTAACAAACTCTGAATTATAACTATTTATGTTGTTGGGTTATTTCTACCTATTTTTGATTGTTAAGTCACAACAAATACTAACAACTTCCTCAATTTTCAGGCAAAGAATGTTAACGTATCCTTGCAAAATAGCAAGGTCAGAAGATATCCTATCAAGCAAAAGCCTAGGTTGGTATTCATATATACAAGTACAGAACTATGCACTTTTTATGGTATAGAAAGCAGAGCTTGATTTTGGGAAAAAAAAGTATTATGTTTATTATGGTTTGTTAGGCTATTCTGAAAAAAAGAAGGTACCGTAAGTATAAACTGTCTGCATAGCTTACCAATATTCTAAAATATCTGAGTAATGGGCTTTAACTTAAAACATTACCCACATGTAAACACCACAGAATCTGGTTATATTTTCTTCTGAATAGAATGAGTATCATATTGTGCTCTAGAATGTTACTGTAAAATAAATGAGATCCAAGGAAATATTGCAAGCTCTAAAGCAACATTTAAATAGCTGGAGAATTTTGTGATTGAAATTTCTATCTCTTAAAATTGCGATTTTGAGAAAACTGCTCTAAAGCTTGTATCAAACATTCCTTAAAAATCAATATTTAAGGTAACTTATAGAAAACATTAATAATTATTTAACAAAAAATACATGAAATTTAATGAGACCAGTTGAATATGATAAAGTAGCTTGTAATAATATTCGAATAATATATTTAACATATCTAATTTAGCAGCATGAATATATATATATTTATTTTCTGAGGTTTTTGCGGGTGTTTGTATGTAGGTCTTTGGTTATTTGGGTTTTCTCCTGCGTAAAATTGGAAGTGTCTTGGCAACGTTTCGACGAAGTCTCATTCGTCATCTTCAGGCTGGTGTTTTCGGCTTCGTGCTTCTAGGAGCAATGTGTGATCGCAGCTGTTTCTTCCTTATAACTGCCAGTGTGTGAACTGATTGGGTGGGAGCTTGGCTGTGTTCTGATTGGGTGGAGGTGTGTTCTGATTGGTTGGGGGCTTGGCTGTGCTCTGATTGGATGGGGGGTTAGCTCCAAAAAGAAACCCCCACTAAAATCCAAGACAGAGAACAAGAAAATGGCAAAGCCCTCCTCCCATACAGAAAAGGCACCACAGACAGAATCAGCAAGATCCTTCACAAACACAACATCAAGACAGCATTCTGCACAAACCGAAAAATATCTACCATCCTAAGAAACCCCAAAGACAAAATTGAATTAGAAAATCAAGGAGTATATGAAATCCCATGCACCACCTGCCCCACCACATACATCGGACAAACCAACAGAAGAATAAGTGCACGCATTGAAGAACACAAGAACTCAGTCAGAAAAGAGGAACCAACTTCTTCCCTGGTCCAACACCTTAAAGCCACAGGACATAAAATTGACTTTAAAAAGACCAGAACTATCGCCAAAACTGAACACTTTAACAACAGAATAATCAGAGAAGCCACCGAGATAGAAAAACGCCCACACAGCATGAATAAATGAGATGATACCTCCCACCTACCAGCCATTTGGAAACCTGCCCTTATTGACAAACGAGTCCCTAACACAAAAAATGACAATAGACCCACACTCACGAAAACCACACAGGTTGTCACCACCATATATCCATGCAAAAAGCAAACCTAAACCCACAGCGATGAGGCACGACCACAAACCAGAAGCCAGACCACAGCTGCATCATTAGCCACTTTAAACCCCTCCAATCCATACATGAAGCAAACTGACACCCACCATGAAGATGTGGCACGACCACGGACGTGAAGCCAAACAACAGCAACGCAGCTCACCAGCTCAAATCCCCCTGAAACTCAGACCAACCTGAGCACAACCAAGCCCCCACCTAAACAGAACACACACCCATCCAATCAGAGCACAGCCAAGCCCCCATCCAATCAGAGCACAGCCAAGCCCCCAACCAATCAGAACACACCTCCACCCAATCAGAACACAGCCAAGCTCCCACCCAATCAGTTCACACTCCCACTGGCAGTTATAAGGAAGAAACAGCTGCGATCACACATTGCTCCTAGAAGCACGAAGCCGAAAACACCAGCCTGAAGATGACGAATGAGACTTCGTTGAAACGTCGCCAAGACACTTCCAATTTTACGCGGGAGAAAACCCGAATAACCAAAGACCTACATATATATATATATAATAGATAGATAGATAGATAGATAGATAGATAGATAGATAGATAGATAGATAGATAGATAGATTTGTTTTCTTTCCTTTTCGTAGGCTTTATGTGTATCTCTCTTTAGCCAGGTTCTTCCTTTGTAAACCAAGATTTTTATGCAGCCCTAGTTCAGTGAAATTACAATCCACTAGTTTCTCGGCTTTTTTTTCTGGCAGCCAGCAAACACTCTGCTCCCATTGGGAGACTAAGGAGACTAAGATAGCGACTAAGAACCTGGCTAGAGAGAAATACACATAAAGCCTATGAAAAGGAAAGAAAACAAATACTGTACCTTTACAGGGAGGATACATGGGATGACGGTGTGGCTAACTGATGAGGACCTATAAGTCCGAAATAGATCTATCTTAGTCTCCTTAGTTTCCCAATGGACAGCAGAATGTTTGCTGGCTGCCAGAAAAAAAGCCGAGAAACTAGTGTAGCATGTGAAAATATATTTTCTGCAAATTCCTCTGATTTAGCATTTTTATCTATTTCTACTTTTAATGTTAAGATAATTGTTTTTTAGGGTCCATAAATTAATTGAGGTTAATTTATAGGAGTTGTGAACTATGAAAGTTCCCGGGTGACATGATCTTTATTTCTGAAAATGAAAAAGGCACATCAGAACTAAATCATATTGATCAATCAATCAATAGATCTTTGTTAAGTAAATCTGGCTTCCCCATTACCTTTGCTTGTCAGAAGGTTACAAAAGGTGATGACATGACTCTATGAATTTTGATTACATGACCATAGGAATGTTGCAACAATCATAAGTAAAAAGCTGTAAATATGATAAACCGGTAGATTTTCCCAACCTATTGCATATTATAATAGAATCTAATCACAAAATGATTTACCGATAATTATTTTTAAGTATTTCAGAGCAAAATAATGCGTCACACAGATAATTAAAATATCATGAGTGTTTTATAGAATGATCAAAGCAGATGCATTTATTTGGGCTGAAAGAGTTTAGAAAGAGATTTAGTTTAAAACTTAGGAAGCATTTTTAAATTTTATGAAATTCTAATATTTTATATAAAATTATTATGTATTTTTCTGGGACATTTGTTACTTTAGTACTGCATGCAGTACCATTGCATGTAATTTGCGATTGGTGACAAAAAATATTGATTTGCAAGGTAGTATTTGGATTAGAGATGAATAGATGTGTGAACGTATTTGTTGTAAAACAGGGCTCTGGTTTCATTTCCTTATTATCTGTGGACTATAATGAATGAACACTTCATTCAAATCAAAGCAAAGGTTTAATTATAAATAAAAGCTAGAAAAATATGTCATAATATAAAGTGGCAAAATGTAGTTTAAATATGAGTGTGTATGGAAATAGGCATTCAGATGTTAATAATATGGCATGAACGGTTATAAATAATGGAAAGCCATTTCCTTTTTTTTTTGAAAAACAATTTTTTATTTCAAACAAAAACAACATAAAAATATCATCCTTTCAAACAATTACAGACAGTGTATCGATTGGTTAGCATCCTTTTGTGCTCAAAAAATCTTCAAAATATCCATATATGACACAAGCTTCTTTTCCCTAAAAACAAATTTTTACACATTTTATCTTAAGTTCCAGTTCATATATCATATTTCATCTCCATATTTTATTATCCATCCAATGATAAAATAAACCCCATATCAAATATTATCTTCCTGTTCTCTTATTACAAATGTCAGTTTACTCATTTCAGCACAATCCAATATTTTCTTAATAATTTCTTCATCAGTAGGTATTTCTCTCCTTTCCAGTTTTTAGCAAATACGATTCTAGCCACTGTTAAAATATTCATAATTAAATATTGCAATTCTCTATTATATGTCTCTGGTAAGATCTCTAATAAAAATATTTCTGGTTTAAAGTCAATATGTCTCTTTATCGTTTTTTCCAACCACGTGTGTATCTTAGTCCAATATCTCTTTGCTTCTACGCATGTCCACCACATATGGTAGTATGATCCTGGAGTCTGATGACACTTCCAACATTTCTCCGATTTATTCTTGAACATTCTGGCTATCCTCGTCGGGCGAGGTGCCATCTGTAAAACATCTTATACAAATTCTCCTTATATGCTGTAGACATTGTCATCTTATAATTATGTGACCACAATTTCTGCCATTTCTCTAAATCAATACCATGACCAAAATTTTCCACCCCGTTACCACTGATTCTTTAACTTGTTCTTCTTCCAATTTCATCTCCTAACAAATATCCATATAGTTTTTTAATTACATGATCATCAGAACCCATTAAAATCTTATGTAAGTTAGTCAAAACATTATAAAAACCTTCTTGTTTAAGATCTTCTTCATATCTGATCTGTCCCCATACCCACACACACACAACACACACAGCCAGTCGAGGGTTAAGGAAACACTTTGGAACGCACCCAGTTCTTATCTCCCACTTGGCAGCGATAGACACACCGTCTGCCAAGTGACTTTATTTTCAAAGTAAACCAGAAAGACAAAATACTCAAGAGTCCAAATGTCCGACACTTTAAATCTTTCTCTCAGCAGCTCCGGACGAGGCTTTAGTGACTATTCAAGGTTTGCTTTGTTCGTCACAAGGATCCTTTGACCACTACCCTCTATTATATAGTCTCTGGGGTGTGGTCCAGTGACTCAGTTCTAATCCCTAGCACGCCTCCTAAGGTGCTGCAAACATTTATCATGCCTTCGGAGGCGTGCGTCCAGGAATGATGTTTCCTCATCACTCTGATTTGAATCAGCTGTCTCTTCTCCCTCCAGGCCTGGAGAGGGAGGCCTGGCTGACTCCTCTTCCTCATGCTCGGAGCTTTCTTCCTCCGATGGGACAGGCTCAGAGGGCGGGGCCACAACACTATCCTCCACCGCAGGGCCCTTCCCCGGGTCTGACGGTCGGGATGGGGTCGGGACGGAAACTGTTCGTGGAAAGCACCAGGTCAGGGGCCTGAA